GCCCCTGCTACCAGTGGCAACAGCAGGCAAGGGCACTCAGGGTGCTCATGCCTTGCGCACACAATGATGCCTGGCGGTGCATATCTCTTGCCAGTGCTGTGCGTGGAGGCAAGGAGCACAGCCTGCCTGGCCCACCTGTATTGCGGGGGCTCCGCACAGCATGTGTGCAGCTCTCGCACATGCATGACACCAAGGGAAGCCTCGTGCTGGAGCTGGATGCTTTCCCTGCCCCCTGCCACACAGTTCCTAGGACTCCATGTGGAAGTGGGGGCTGGGGTCCCCCTCCACTTCTGGAAGAGTCCTGGGACCTTCATGGCAGGGGGTGGGGAAGGCATCTAGCTCCAGTGCAGGGTTTCCCCCAGTGCTGCACGAGTGTGGAAGCTGCACATGCACTGCGCAGAGCCCCCGTGATAGAGGCATCCCGAATTATCATCCTGACGACCTTTACTCAGCTGCTGCATAACCCCTATCTCTGATGTTCCCCTGACTCTTTGCATTCCTGGATCTTCCCCAGTCTTGGCAGAGCAAAGCAGCTCAGTGTCTAACTTACACCTAAGCCCACTGGGATTCAGCAATGAAGCCTTCTTCTGCCAAAGTCCTTTAATGAAGCAGTTCTCTCAGCCTTTTTGATCCTCCAACTGACCTCCAACTCTTTCTACAGGCCTACAGTTCCCTTCCCTCCACCCCAAACTACAGCATATTGGCCCATGCCTCCCATCCTTCCTTCCATCCTTTCACTCCCAAAATCCTGTCTGCCTCCACCTTCATGGTCTGACTCCTTCCTTCCACCCGCCAAAGGTCAGCCAGCTCTTCTACATTGTAGCCACCTTTGTGGCATGTCTATAGCTCCTCTGAACTCAGCAGTTGAGAACTACTGCCCTAATAGGTCCAAACTAGAGGGCCTTCTCAGAAACTGCCTAAAGTACTGTCAGGGCTGGGATCCTTTCTGAATGCAGTAGCTTCTGCTTGCTTTTAAAACAAGGGTGTCAAACTCACCCCTATGCCCTGGACCAGATCCAGCAACAAGGCTCCTCACAGGCCAGATCCATGGGGCAAGCAGCTGCAGCGTGGTCAGGGGCAGCAATAGTGATAGTGGAAGCAACAATAGTGGGGCCATTGGTGGAGGCAGTGGGGCAAGTGGCCACTTGCCATGGCAGAGGTGGTACAAGCAGTGTTGACAGCAGGGCAAGCAGCTGTGGGACAAGCAGGGTTGTGTCAAGAGCCCTTGCTTGCCCACTTGCTGCTGATGCCCGTATCTAATGGGGCACTGGGGCCCCAGATTCTGTTGTAGTCCTCACCCGCTATGAGCCATACCCCCAAATTCCTTGACTTGCTAGTAGCCCAGTGGGCTGCATAGAGTGGGTGCAAGGCCTGGATCCAGCCCATGGACTGTATGTTTGACACCCATTTTAAACCATATTTGGAGGAGAAGCCACTATATAATTGCCTGGTGCCATATTTATTTACTTGCATGTTTCCACCGAAAACAACCCTCCAAAATTGGGGTGCATGCCTGAAGTAGAGAAGCTGGCTTTTTTTGCTGGAATAGAAGAAGCATGTATAGTATGCTGTGCTCTAATGGTTGCCAAGATGGCAGCTGCATCCCTCAGCTTTGAGTTTAATGAGGGGTGCCTTGAGTATAAAAATGTTGAGCACCACTGCCCTATGGGCTATCTCCATGTGGAAGTGAAGCTGTCTCTAATAGAAGGACTTGCCAATTCTCAGTCCTTTCAGAACGATGAATTCTCAGTGCCTGCCCTTGCCCTGTGCACAGATCTGGGGGGCACATGCTTGCCCAGGAGTGCACGCAGCAGCTGGAGCTGCCTTCTCCCCATCCCTGTGTCCCCCAGAATGAGCCACTTGTGGTTCTGTCCTGCACCCCACCCAGCTGGCCAGCACTTGTTGGCGTCCCTTCAGTTTGGCACCCAGGGTGGTCAGCCCTCTTGCTCCCTCCTTGTTACGGCACTTGATGCAGAGGGGAAGTGGTGGAATGACAGTTTCCTATCCTTGTGCTGCTGATGGAACGTGATATCCTTTCTGAGCAGCCAGGGGGGATTGGCAGTTTCTGCAAACTGATCAAGCTGGAGGGATCTGGTTGCCTGCAGGAGGAGCTCTCACACTTTTCCTACAATTTTCAGGTGTGGGGACATGGACAGAACTCAGTGCAAGGGCTCTCATTCTGGCCCTAACAGCAAAATCCCCATGACTTCATTTATTCAGTGGCTTCCCTTGTGCCTGGGATCTAGGCAGAGGAGAAGCCCTTTACCAGGAGGAGGCAGGGGAGAAGGGAGTTAGAGAACAAATCCCAGGCTGTTGGTGGGGTGGATAATTAAAACTATTTTGGGGATGTCTAGTCAATTAATTATATTACTTAAAGAACTAATTTTATTGTCATTATTGGATAATTATATATTTAAATAGTGGATTAAACATATACAAAAAATGATATTTTGTAATATGTAGAACGTGAGGGTTTTTTTAATATATAAGTATATAAAGTATTATTAACACACCAAGTTAGAGAGATCTGTGCTTGGTTTAGTGTTTCCAGCAAGTGGTCAAAGATGTAAAGATATTCTTGCATGTAATGAAAACCTCGTGCAGAAGAGGAATACTTTGTGTTTCTTGGAGATTCATTGTCCATTTCCACTTCCATTTTATAACTCTTAAACAGGAGAAAAATACTGGGGAAGGTTGGGAAAGTGAAGGGGAGAGAGATAAGAGAGTACAAGGGAATAAGGGCTAGTCCTTTTTCTTAGTGGTGAGCAAAAAGGGTAAATGGAATCTCAATTTGAACAGACTGGGAAAAGCATTAGTTGTGTGTGTGATAAGGGCTGAGTTTTCAGCCTGACATTTTTGCACACAGAAAGGGAATTAAAGTTAAGAGACAGGCTGAAAAGCATTTTTAGTACTTGGTTTTTTTTAAACATGATTTTGGGGTGCAATTTGACATCATTATCTTTGATCTCCTGAGGTTGGGAATAATGGTATCTATATAGGCATTAAAGCAGTCTATGCTGTTATTATTTATTTCCATTCTGGTAATATTAAGGAACCTGATTCCTGAGCCAGGATCTCATGGGCCAGGATTGTGCTAGGTGCTGTGCAAACACAAAACAAAAAGTCCCTGCCTCATGGAACTTAGGATCTAAAGCTTCCTATACATGTGCTTGGGCATGGGGGCAGGCATTTTAATTAGAGTCATTCTTGCAGAGCCACTCTAATCAAAACACCATAGTGTCATGTGTATTAAGCCTCTGCACATTTAAAAATGGCTGCAGGATGCTTTAACTAAAGCTCACTCAACAAGTTTTAGTAAAAGCGCCTCAGTGGCCATTTTTAAACCTGAGGGGGTTTATACACATGATGCTGCGATGATACGAGAAGAGCGTTCTAATTAGTTCTAATCGAGTCTACTCTGACACATTCTAACCAGAACATGTTGGAGCACATGTATAGGCACCCTAAGTTAAGACATTAAATGGGTATAGACAGATGAGGGAGTACAAGAAAGCAGTACAGTACTTTAAAGATTTAGTGGATCTCAATATGAAATCAAACCAGAGCTTTGATGTTGGTTTTATCTCCTTCTCATGGTCACTCCCATCCAGACAAAATAATCCCCTTGATTTACAAAGCCTGCTAAGGTGGTTTTGTATCACCTAAAAGCTATACATAAGAACAAGATGATGAATAGTTAACAGCATCAACTTGTGTTCTTTATATAATAAATACATTAGTGCTATCACTAGATACAGAGGGAGACATTCTTTACCACTCAACAGCCCTATCAGTTCTTGATTTTGATATAGAAAAACTCAAACTGAGAGCCTTGCATCCACTCCAGTCCCTTTGTGCCCCCTTGGTATCCTGGCTGAACGTTGCCATGGTAGTATGTAGCGTTCTTGCCTCCTTGCTACCATGCTGTGACATTTCCCTGAAGGAGGACTTGGTGTTGGCCACGGGCGACGACCTGGTGAGGGG